GAGGAGGTCAAGAGACACCTGCTTGATCTGGATGTTAGAAAGGCTGTTGATCCAGATGGGATCTCACCATGGATATTGAAAGAGTGTGCAGAGGCACTCTGCTTGCCACTCTCCATAGTGTATAGTAAGTCACTGGAGACGGGAGACCTACCAGAAATATGGAAGACGGCGAATGTGGTCCCAATATACAAAAAGGGCGACAGGCAAGAGGCACTGAACTACAGGCCAGTGTCCTTGACTTGTATACCATGCAAGGTGATGGAGAAGATCGTGAGAAAAAACCTGGTAACACATCTGGAGAGAAAGGACTTCGTGACAAATCGCCAACATGGGTTCAGGGAGGGTAAATCTTGCCTTACAGGCTTGATAGAATTCTACGATCAGGTGACAAAGATTAAGCAAGAAAGAGAGGGCTGGGCGGACTGCATTTTCTTGGATTGTCGGAAAGTCTTTGACACAGTACCGCATAAGAGGCTGGTACATAAGCTGAAGAGACAGGCAGGTGTAGCTGGTTGGGTACTCCAGTGAATAAAGGAGTACCTAAGCAATAGGAAGCAGAGAGTTACGGTGAGGGGTGAGACCTCCGATTGGCGTCAAGTCACCAGTGGAGTCCCACAGGGCTCTGTACTCGGTCCTATCTTGTTTCTGATATATGTAAATGATCTCCCGGAGGATATCGATTCATTTCTCTCAATGTTTGCGGACGATGCTAAAATTATGAGAAGGATTAAAACAGAAGAGAACTGTTTGAGGCTTCAAGAAGACCTAGACAAGCTGAAAGAATGGTCGAACAAATGGTTGTTAGAGTTTAACCCAACCAAATGTAATGTAATGAAGATATGTGTAGGGAGCAGGAGGCCAGATACAAGATATCATCTGGGAGTGGAAATTCTTCAGGAGTCAGAGAAAGAAAAAGACGTGGGGGTTGATATCACGCCAGACCTGTCTCTTGCAGCACATATCAAGAGGATAACATCAGTGGCATATGCCAGGCTGGCCAACATACGAACGGCATTCAGAAACTTGTGTAAATAATCATTCAGAACTTTGTATACCACATATGTCAGGCCAATCCTGGAGTATGCAGCCCCAGCATGGAGTCCATATCTAGTCAAGGATAAGACTAAACTGGAAAAGGTTCAAAGGTTTGCTACCAGACTAGTACCCGAGCTGAGAGGTATGAGCTACGAGGAGAGACTACGGGAATTAAACCTCACTTCGCTGGAAGACAGAAGAGTTAGGGGGACATGATCACCACATTCAAGATTCTGAAGGGAATTGACAGGGTAGATAAAGACAGGCTATTTATCACAAGGGGCACACGCACAAGGGGACACAGGTGGACACTGAGTGTCCAAATGAGCCACAGAGATATTATAAAGAACGTTTTTAGTGTCAGAGTGGTTGACAAATGGAATACATTAGGAAGTGATGTGGTGGAGGCTGACTCCATACACAGTTTCAAGTGTAGATATGATAGAGCTCAATAGGCTCAGGAATCTGTACACCTGTTGATTGATGGTTGAGAGGTGGGACCAAAGAGCCAGAGCTCATCCCCGCAAACACAACTAGGTGAGCACAGCGTGAAGAATTGTAGCACATAGCGCGTTTCGTATACAAAACATCGGGTTTTGTATACAGCATCAAAGTGTCGTTTCGTACACAGCGTCGGCAGATTCCTCAGTACACAGCTTCAGTCAGCACATAGCATTGGTTAGCACATAGCTTGGGTTAGCACACAGCATCAGTTAGCACACAGCATCAGTTAGCACACAGCATCAGTTAGCACACAGCATCAGTTAGCACACAGCATCAGTTAGCACACAGCATCAGTTAGCACACAGCATCAGTTAGCACACAGCATCAGTTAGCACACAGCATCAGTTAGCACACAGCATTGGGTATGGTGCTCACTGACAGCTTCTCTTCCTCCTCCGGGCGAGACAGCATGCTTCTCTCTCGTTTTTTAAGCTGAACAAATACCTGCGTTCATAGTTCATCCTCGACGCCAGTGTGGTGTTTGTGTGTAGCTGAGGAAGTCTTGGTTGTAGGGTTGATATAAAGCCATTGCTTGGTTACTGACTTTAATACTTATAATGATACATGACTAGTAGCTACTAAGCTTGGCGGGCGTCCTGTACGCTCTATTGTTTACCTCTCTACTGGCGTCTGAGCCGCCGCACATAGAAAACGGATGGTACCGTTTTCTGTGAACATGACAAAGTCCTCTTTAAATGTCAGTGAAGCTCTCTCCAAACTCTTCACACAAACGACGTGTTGCTCCATACACGACTCAAAGATTGACTATGTTTCTGGAGTTCCACTCCTCAACTTGGAAGTCCTGCACCACCTTGCTGTTCGGCTCCCACTATGAGTTTAGGCTCACACTTGGAGTTCAGCATACACTCCTCCTCTGGTATGTAGTGCTCTCACTAACTTCTCCCAGACAAACCATCGTAGTTCCCCAACCCAAACGTTGCAGTTCTCCCACCCAAACGTTGCAGTTCTCCCACACAAACGTTGCAGTTCTCCCACCCAAACGTTGCAGTTCTCCCACACAAACGTTGCAGTTCTCCCACACAAACGTTGCAGTTCTCCCACACAAACGTTGCAGTTCTCCCACCCAAACGTTGCAGTTCTCCCACACAAACGTTGCAGTTCTCCCACACAAACGTTGCAGTTCTCCCATACAAACGTTGCAGTTCTCCCACACAAACGTTGCAGTTCTCCCACACAAACGTTGCAGTTCTCCCACCCAAACGTTGCAGTTCTCCACACAAACGTTGCAGTTCTCCCACACAAACGTTGCAGTTCTCCCACACAAACGTTGCAGTTCTCCATCACAAATCTGCAAATCCATTGTTATGCCATAATAAAAGTTTTCCTAACAAAACATAATTAAATGTATTCACAGAGAATAAAACTCCTCCATCCGACATCTCTTTAAACACTATTGCGTCGCCGTAATGGTCCTCCCCCATCCTGGACGGGTCCACTTGGGAACATGTCCAGACATGTAGCTGGCCGCCTCCCTGGTCGCAAGGCTGTAGCCTTCCCCTCTCAGTCAGCGCTTAACCTTCAGCGAAGGCGAACGTATCACTCCCCACCCCCCTCCAGCATGTTTTCCTATCTCTACTCTCTTATTTTTAGCTCACTAGCTTAATAGAATATATGTACTATATACATAAACACTTGCCATGATCGCTGGGCACACGATCAAGCACAGGCAACCACTGTAACAATTGTTATATTAGCTTACATCAGAATTTTTATGTCGAGGGCACTTAGCTGCAGAGCTCCCAGATGTCGTCCTCTAAGACATCCAACAAAGTTTCGTTATGACCGCCTCACAGCTCTTCTGCTGCTGACTTGAGTACATTAAGTCGTCCAACAAGCTTCACACATAACCGCCTACTTGATTCATGTCACCAAAGTATCAACATCTCATTTCATGTCACTTATTTACATGCTCATCCTCCATCTCATATTTTTTAATTATTCACTGGCATATATTATATATTTAATATATACATCTTTTCTCTGACTTCTCAACCAGGTCCAGGAGGCCGAATAACTCTCACTGGGGTCGGCTCCTTCCACCCAGGCTTCATGGGGTTATCTTGAGGTTATCTTGAGATGATTTCGGGGCTTTAGTGTCCCCGTGGCCCGGTCCTCGACCAGGCCTCCACCCCCAGGAGGCAGCCCGTGACAGCTGACTAACACCCAGGTTCCTATTTTTTACTGCTAGGTAACAGGGGCATAGGGTGAAAGAAACTCTGCCCATTGTTTCTCGCCGGCGCCTGGGATCGAACCCAGGACCACAGGATCACAAGTCCCGCGTGCTGTCCACTCGGCCGACCGGCTCCCTCCGGGTCATAACAGTAGCCATACACAGACTTGGTTACAAGTGCTGCTGGGAGGTAATAAACCCAATATTTTAAGAGTGTCATATTTGTGGAACAGGTGCAGAGGCGCCACTATTACACTATTTACTGGAATATGAAGCAACTGAAGCCCTGCGCATCAAACTCAACAATAATGCAATGACAGCAGCTGCATTAGATGAAAAATCCACAGCGACTACAATGGTTAGAAAAGCAGTTGAAAATGGGAGTCACTAGTGCATCTACATCCACCACCAATATAATGTTATTAAAACAAGATTAAAACAGAAGTGAAAATGAAACGGGGGAAATGGAGAAAAACCAACCTCCACTTAAGTTTTGACCCAAATATCACAGTAACAAGGTTATCGGGAAAACCGAACTCAATTACGGGCTCACTATAGCTCGTGCTACATGGACATTTCTTGCTGAGTAGGTAAATCTAAAACAACAACAACAACTCCTGTCTCTCCTGAGTTACAGCCCCACTCCTGGCACAGGAGCAGGCTCACAATAGCCCGTGCTACTTGGAACTTTATGTTCCGAATAACTTAATCTAAAACAACAACAACTCCTGTCTCCTCATTTGAGAACGAACCTTGTTTATTCAAAACGTTGTGTAAATTTATAAGTGTAATACATTTTACAGTTAATATTTATTTTTTAGTCAACCTCGAACATATATGACAAGTGGAGAAACCCTCTTCCAATTATACTATGATGCAAGAGCACTCTTAAATTATAAATTATATTATGCAATACTTTTGTGAGTGAAAAGTATTCTTCCTAGCGACGAGTTGAATGAAATGATACTGTCATGTGTTAGTGGGAAACAAACGCATGTCCCTAATGAGAGATAGTTGAGAGCTCTTGTCAAGCAATTACATTCTTTTTCATTTATACTCTAATTACTTCCTGATTGTGACAACAAGATCAACACATTACACTATCGCTCGCTTTGGAAACCGATCACGTCCATTTTTTTCTCTTGAGTCCTAGCCGTGGACATTACTCGCGTCCACTACAAAAATATTTGCATAAAATTCATTTTTTATCCGATCGACATCGGGATAGTTTGAAAATAAGCGCCTTTAGAATTCGCTCACCTAAACTCACCTGAGAACACTGGGAAATGTTCGGGAGTGTGAGCTGAGAGTCAGAAGCACCAGGTGGCACCTAGGAAAATTGTGAACTAGGACCTGCGTCACTATCAAGCCCACCTGGTCCAGGTCGCCAGTCGCCTCACCATCAGCCTGGTCCAAGTAACAGCTGTCACCGCCAGGTGTTTGTGATACCATCACTACCAGGGCCAACACCATCAATGCTTTACAACATATCATCCGTTTTCGAAGGAATGCCATTTTCCCCTGAAACATATGGGTAATGTTGATATAATTACACACAGGCACTTACACACACGCACGCACGCACACACACACACACACACACACACACACACACACACACACACACACACACACACACACACACACACACACACACACACACACACACACACACACACAGACACACACACACACACACACACACACACACACACACACACACACACACACACACACACACACACACACACACACACACACACACACACACACACACACACACACATACACACACACACACACACACACACACACACACACACACACACACACACACACACACACACACACACACACACACACACACACACACACACACACACACACACACACACACACACACACACACAAACCCAAAAGTGTCAGGAGGCAGTAAACAGGTTCATCCCGGCCCAAAGGGAAAAATCCGCGAAGCAACAGAAGAATCCATGGTATAATAGGGCATGTATGGAAGCGAAGAAACTGAACAAAAGGGCGTGGAGGAACTTCCGGAATAACAGAACACCAGAAAGCAGAGAGAGATACCAGAGAGCCAGGAATGAGTACGTCAGGGTGAGAAGAGAAGCAGAGAAAAGTTTTAAAAATGATATAGCAAACAAAGCCAAGACCGAACCAAAGCTACTCCACAGTCACATCAGAAGGAAAACAACAGTGAAAGAACAGGTATTGAAACTTCGAACAGGCGATGACAGGTATACAAAGAATGACAGAGAGGTGTGTGAAGAACTCAACAAGAGGTTCCAGGAGGTCTTCACAATAGAACAAGGTGAGGTCACTGTGCTAGGAGAAAGGGAGGTAAACCAGGCGGCCTTGGAAGAGTTCGAAATTACGAGAGAGGAGGTTAAGAGACACCTGCTTGATCTGGATGTTAGAAAGGCTGTTGGTCTAGGTGGGATATCACCATGGATACTAAAAGAGTGTGCAGAGGCACTTTGCTTGCCACTCTCCATAGTGTATAGTAACTCACTGGAGACGGGAGACCTACCAGAAATATGGAAGACGGCGAATGTGGTCCCAATATACAAAAAGGGCGACAGGCAAGAGGCACTGAACTACAGGCCAGTGTCCTTGACTTGTATACCATGCAAGGTGATGGAGAAGATCGTGAGAAAAAACCTGGTAACACATCTGGAGAGAAGGGACTTCGTGACAAATCGCCAACATGGGTTCAGGGTGGGTAAATTTTGCCTTACAGGCTTGATAGAATTCTATGATCAGGTGACAAAGATTAAGCAAGAAAGAGAGGGCTGGGCGGACTGCATTTTCTTGGATTGTCGAAAAGCCTTTGACACAGTACCGCATAAGAGGCTGGTACATAAGCTGGAGAGACAGGCAGGTGTAGCTGGTAAGGTGCTCCAGTGGATAAGGGAGTATCTAAGCAATAGGAAGCAGAGAGTTACGGTGATGGGTGAGACCTCCGATTGGCATGAAGTCACCAGTGGAGTCCCACAGGGCTCTGTACTCGGTCCTATCTTGTTTCTGATATATGTAAATGATCTCTCAGAGGGTATCGATTCATTTCTCTCAATGTTTGCGGACGATGCTAAAATTATGAGAAGGATTAAAACAGAAGAGGACTGTTTGAGGCTTCAAGAAGACCTAGACAAGCTGAAGGAATGGTCGAACAAATGGTTGTTAGAGTTTAACCCAACCAAATGTAATGTAATGAAGATAGGTGTAGGGAGCAGGAGGCCAGATACAAGGTATCATCTGGGAGAGGAAATTCTTCAGGAGTCAGAGAAGGAAAAAGACTTGGGGGTTGATATCACGCCAGACCTGTCTTCTGCAGCACATATCAAGCAGATAACATCAGCGGCATATGCCAGGCTGGCCAACATACGAACGGCATTCAGAAACTTGTGTAAATAATCATTCAGAACTTTGTATACCACATATGTCAGGCCAATACTGGAGTATGCAGCCCCAGCATGGAGTCCATATCTAGTCAAGGATAAGACTAAACTGGAAAAGGTTCAAAGGTTTGCCACCAGACTAATACCCGAGCTGAGAGGTATGAGCTACGAGGAGAGACTACGGGAATTAAACCTCACTTCGCTGGAAGACAGAAGAGTTAGGGGGGACATGATCACCACATTCAAGATTCTGAAGGGAATTAATATGGTAGATAAAGACAGTCTATTTAACACAAGGGGAACACGCACAAGGGGACACAGGTGGACACTGAGTGCCCAAATGAGCCACAGAGATATTAGAAAGAACTTTTTTAGTGTCAAAGTGGTTGACAAACGGAATGCATTAGGCAGTGATGTGGTGGAGGCTGACTCCATACACAGTTTCAAGTGTAGATATGATAGAGCCCGATAGGCTCAGGAACCTGTACACCTGTTGATTGACGGTTGAGAGGCGGGACCAAAGAGCCAGAGGTCAACCCCCACAAACACAACTAGGTGAGTACAACTAGGTGAGTATACACACACACACACACACACACACACAAACTCACACACACACAGGCGGGATCCAAGAGTCAATGCTCGATCCTGCAGACACAACTAGGTGAGTACACACACACAAGAAATAGAAGGATGGGCGGACTGCATTTTTTTGGACTGCCGGAAAGCCTTTGACACAGTACCCCATAAAAGTCTAATGCATAAGCTGGAGAAATAGGCAGAAGTAACTGGTCGGGCGCTCCAGTGGATAAGGGAGTACCTAAGCAATAGGAAGCAGAGAGTTACAGTGAGGGGCGAGACCTCAGATTGCTGTAAAGTCACCAGTGGATCCTACAGGGCTCTGTACTCGGACCTATCCTGTTTCAAATATACGTTTCAAATATAGACAGAGGAGGACAGCTTGAGGCTCCAAGAAGACCTGGACAAGCTGCAGGAATGGTCGAACAAATGGTTGTTAGAGTTTAACTGAAGCAAATGTAATGTAAAGAGGATAGGTGTAGGGAGCAGGAGACCATACACAATGTATCATTTAAGAGATGAAATACTTCAAGAGTCAGAGAGAGAGAAAGACCTGGGGACTGATATCACTCCAGACCTGTCCCACGAAGCTCATATCAAGAGGATAACATCAGCGGCATATGCCAGGTTAGCTAACATAAGAACGGCGTTTAAAAACTTGTGTAAGGAATCTTTCAGAACATTATATACCACATATGTCAGACCAATCCTGGAGTATGCGGCGTCAGCATGGAGTCCATCTTTGGTCAAGGATAAGACTTAACTGGAAAAGGTTAAAGGTTTGCCACCAGGCTAGTACCCGAGCGTAGAGGTAAGAGCAACGAGGAGAGACTACGGGAATTAAACCTCACGTCGCTGGAAGACAGAAAAGTTAACGGGGACATGATTACCACATTCAAGATTCTTAATGGAATTGATAGGGCAGATAAAAACAAGCTATTTAACACAAGTAATCCTTGTTCATTATTGTGTATTGTTATTATTGTGTATTATTCTAATCTGCTTTTGTATCAAAATTTTTTGCAATGTACCTGTAATTTTTTTTCAATTTACTCTAATTTTTCTACTTAAAATCATCTGTACCTATAAAGTAAAGCTGTAAAGTACCTGTAAACATTTGCTGTCAATTTTACTGTTAATTATCTAAAAATTATCTGTTAGTTTAAAAACTTGCCCGAAATTTTATGCGTGCTAGTGGCTTTACAAGAATGTAAATTCAACTTAAATCTATGGTCTCTGTTAACCCCCAATGTACCTTCTTGTATATATATAAATAAATAACTAAAACAAGTGGCACACGGACTAAGGGGACACAGGTGGAAGCTGAGTGCCCAAATGAGCCACAGAGATATTAGAAAGAACTTTTTTAGTGTCAGAGTGGTTGACAGGTGGAATGCAATGATGTAGTGGAGGGTGACTCCAAACACAGTTTCAAATATTGATATGATAGAGCCCAGTAGGCTCAGAAATCTGTACACCAGTTGATTGACGGTTGAGAGGCGGGACCAAAGAGCCAGAGCTCAACCCCCGCAAGCAAAACTAGGTGAGTACACTTCGTGACAAATCGAAGAGACAGACAAAAGGGCCTCCAACGTGACAACCCGCCAACATCGGTTCAAGGAGGGTAAATCTTGCCTTACTTGCTTAATAGAATTCTACCGACTAGGTGACAAAGATTAAGCAAGAAAAAGAAGAATGATTGAACTGCATTTTCGTGGACTGTCGGAAAACCTTTGACATAGTACCCCATAAGAAGCTGGCACATAAGCTGGAGAGACAGACAGGAGTAATCTAGTAAGGTGCTCCAGTGAATAAGGGAGTACCTAAGCAATAACAAGAGGAAAGTTACAATGAGGGGGGGGGGGAGACCTCAGATTGGTGAGAAGTCACCAGTAGAGTCCCACGGGGTTCTGTACTCGGACCTATCCAGTTTCTAATATACGTAAATGATCTTCCAGAGGGTATAGACTCATTCCTCTCAAATGTTTGCTGATTATGCCGAAATTATGAGAAGTATTAAGACAGAGGAGGACTGCTTGCGGCTTCAAGAAGACCTGGACAAACTGAAAGAATGGTCGATCAAATGATTATTAGAGTTTAACCCAAGCAAATGTAATGTAATGAAGATAGAGGTAGGGAACGGGAGACCAGATACAAGGTATCATTTGGGAGATGAAATTCTTCAAGAGTCAAAGAGAGAGAGAAAGACTTGGGGGTTGATATCACGCCAGACCTGTCCCTTGAAGCCCATATCAAGAGGATAACATCAGCGGCATATGCCAGGTTCGCCAACTTAAAAAAGACCTTTAGAAACTTGTTTAAAGAATCATTTAAAACTATTTATACCACATATGCCAGACCAATCCTGGAGTATGCAGCTCCAGCATGGAGTCCAGATTTTGTCAAGCATAAAACTAAACTGGAAAAGGTTCTAAGGTTAGCCACCAGACTAGTACCCAAACTAAGAATTATGAGCTCCGATGAGAGACTACGGGAATTAAACCTCATGTCGCTGGAAGACAG